CGGGGGGCAGTGGGCGCGGGGCCGGGGGGCAATGGGCGCGGGGCCGGGGGGCAATGGGCGCGGGGCCGGGGGGCAATGGGCGCGGGATCGGGGACGCGAGCGTAAATGCTGGGGCGTGGGGCAGGCAGACGCGGGGGCCAAGGAAAAGGGGTGGCGGGGTCGAGGATGTAGGTGGGCCGCGGAGAGGGGCACGCCGGCGACTGGAGTACCGCGCGGCGCCAGGGACAATGAGTTCACCTTGATGATCGGAGAGACCTGTACCGGTGGCACCATCTTGTCCCTGACCTTCGAGCCGGAAGCACAACTGAGGCAGAGGGAAACGCAGAGGCCGGGCTTAGCGAACGCGCGTGCGCCGTAGCGGAGCGCGGAACAGGGTGACTCCCTCTGGTGGCCACAGTGAGTGGCGCGCCCCGCTCGATAATGACGTCACGGCGCGCTCGCGTGCGGTGGCCCGCCTAGCCGAGCCGGGTCTTCCAAGACGCCCGGGACCGAAATCTGAGGGTCTTCCAAGACGCCCGGGACCGAAATCTGAGGTTCCGATCTGCGCAGAGAGCCACACAGTGATTTTTAAAAGATGTAAATTTGTTATTAAAGTACAGTACTAGGTGTGGTGGCACACACCTGCAATCCCAGCGCTCCGGAGGCTGAGGCAGGAGGATTGCTGCGAGCTCAGAACCCATCTGGGCTTCATGGTGAATCACTGACTCAGAGGCCAGCCTGGACTGCATAGTGAGACCCTATCTCGAAAGAAAAAGTGCAATACGTGTGAGTATAATCAATAATATATTGCGATACAGTGGGACAGAGGACAGCACCAAAGAGGAAAGGGAACCCTCGCAAAGGAGACAAATGTCATGCCACTCCCAGTTCCTTAAAGTTCTGTGTTCAGGCAAAAGCAACTTGGTGTTAACAGGCCTGCATGGCTGGAAGGCTTGTTCCCAGGCTTGGCTAGGTCTGCCAATGGTCAGTGCTTCAGTTGTTAGTTATCTTTATACGCTTCTCTTCCAGGGCCACTTAGCTGTTATCCAGTAGGAAATCAAGTCATGTGACAAGGGTACAAGAAAAGAACACAGGTGCTGGGTCCAGGTGTTCCAGCCACACACCTGTGCAGCTGAAACCCATCTGGAGTTACTGGACCAGGTGGTGCTAATTACAGTATAATTTCATGTGCTGTTTATTCCTTGGGGAGGCATGTAGGCCTGGCCATTGCATTTTTATCTTGAGGCCCTGATAGGTTCTCTGCACAGCAGAGAAACAGGCAGAAGGAAAAGGACAAAGGGACTTTATTTTCTTTGAGGACATGGGAGAGAATGTGGGAAGGATGAGGAATTCTCTCTCTCTCTCTCTCTCTCTCTCTCTCTCTCTCTCTCTCTCTCTCTCTTTGGCTTTTATGGCCCTTTGCCAGGGGTGGAGTTTGGGGGGATGTTTAGATATACCTGAGGGAGCTAATTGGGGTCTTCCCTGAGGCAGCAGGAAGGATGGAAGTAAATTATGTCGGGCTAATTTGGAGAAGAAGGGGAAGGTGGTCTTGGGAAGATGGGCCCTTGTCTTAAGGGCATTGGCCATATTAGATGACCACCATAATGATTTTAGCAGTTCATACTCGGGCCAGAACCTATCAGGCCAGCCTTCTCCAGATGTGTTTCCAACCACAATTCTGATATATTTATTTGCTTCTTTGTTTGTTTTGGGTTTTTTTAGACAGGGTGTGTGGGGGGGGATTACAAGTATGTAACACTGTGCTCAACTTGATGTCTTTATTTTTGTGCTGACTTCTTTGAGGGCCCAGTCCCTCTCTGACTATATATTAATTTCTGTGTAACTTACCTGCCTATAATAAGATAATGTCAGGTGACCATGAGTTTTCCCTTCACGAGATTTAAAACAAACAATATTCCTCAGCAACTCAAACTTCCAGAACCAAAAATAAGTGTCTCCGCAGGCCCAAGTGTCTCCAGGGCAGCTGCAGCAGGCTGGGGTGCAGGTTGCAGAGAAGATACTAGAAGGGAGGTCCCACGGGGTACCTTTGCACCTGTCAGGGTCAGATACATGATACTCCTCATACTCCCAGCTCTACTGCTGTCTTTAGTACTGAGCTCAGGACCCTCCCTGGGGCTCTGTTACCTTCCCACTTTTGGGGTTCCTCACCCTGCAGGGTCACATCCCAACCCTGTCCAGGGCCCTAGAATGCCTGGCCCTTCCCTCCTAAACTACCCCCCACACCAGGTCACTGTTGTATGTTATCAGTAGGAGCCCAAAGAAACAGGAAAACTGGATTAATACAGCTTCAGAGATCTCACTGAAGAGATCTCTTGGAAACCTCTCAGATTTATTGAGGGCTACAAACAGGCTAAGGAATGTGCATAACTAATTAGGTATAAGCAAGCTGCTATTGGCATCCCTTTCCCACAGTAACTTCCCAGGTTAAGGAACAAAGAACAGACAGGGCACCACCTCCAGGAATCTGTTGCCTTGCCTCCAGCTTCCCAAAATTACAAGGGGCCAGTTTTCTTAGGCTCTGTTCTTTGTTCCTTGCTCCCTAGGGACAGTAAGTTTTGGACTCATATAACTGTCCGCCACATGCTCCCACGTCGTCTCCAGGAGCTGATTTCCCTGGGTCCCGCTGGCTTCGGGAGTCTTGGGTAGCAGCACCTGGAAGGGAGCTTCCATGACAAGTCGTGTCCTTGGGGTACAGGGCTTCTGCTGCAGTGAAAGCTGTATAGCCTTGTGCGGGGTTCAGAGATGTGAGAGGGAAGAAGGGGGCACCCATCATGGTGGGCACACAACCCCACCCTCATGTGCTGAGGCCCTGCTGTCCCTGCCAAGGGGAAGCCCTTCAAAGCCTGTTCTCCCGGCCTAAAGCTGCAGGGCCCAGTCTGCCCTCCTTCTCTTCTACCCTGCCTCCAATTTCCTGGACCAGGGCACCTGACCTTCAGCACCAACAACAGACGCCTTCCCCCACTGGGCCAGGGAGTATGGGAAGACCTGGGGGCCAGGCCAACATGCCCCATCCCAGATCCTCAGGGTAGCCCAACCATCTATCTCCTAGGCTGATCCACCCCAGAAACATCATCTCCCTGGACCAGCCAAGAAGCCCTTGCTGCCACATGGTCAGGGCCAGGAGCTCTGCTGGTTCTGAATGGCAGCCCTGACACCAAGTACTAGCCAAACATTTGGGTCACTCTGTACCTCTGTGCCCATCTGGAAAAGGCAGCTTCCTCTGGGGCATGCAGCTCTGCCACCCAGCAGGGCCTGGGTGCCAGATCGACTTTCAGACTGTAGGACCTGTCGGCCTAGCAGGCGAACGCAACATACAGGCCTAGAAAGGCTGGAAGCAGGGGCTATCTGCTAGACTGCCGATGCTCACCTTGTTGTCCAGTCCCCTAGGTGGCCCTGAACTTGTCCTTGCAGGGAGTGGTAACTAAAGTCTGAACTGTTCTGGGGGACCAGGAAGGAACTCAAGACAGGTGGGATGGGGCTTGGGCAGGAAGTCTCAGACATGGTGGGAAGGCAGGTGTTTGTGTGTGTGCATGTGTATATGCATGTGAACATGCACCCACGTACCTGAGTGTGGGTGAGAAGCACAGGCACAAGGCATGCCTTGTTGACAGTCTGGGGCAAGATGAAGGAAGGTCTGGGCCTTCAAGAAATGCTGAAGCCCAAAACAAGCTCATCATGACATCCCTTTTCCCTGGAGCCCACCAGGGCCACATGCTGGGCTAAGGTCCTAAGCCTTGTGCTCTGCCAGGACTTCAGGGATCACTGTGTTCCCCCTGCACCTGGGGAAGGGGACAGCACACTTCCTGGGCCCCTCCAGCACCAAGTAGGGGTCCCCTCACTAAGTTAAGGTTCCCAAGTGACAGGGTGCCATTGAGAGTCCTCCAGCAGTACCTGGGGACCCACAGCCTCAGCGCTCCTGCCTCAGCGAGAAGACCAGTAAGAAGGAAGTTGCAGTGCCTTCTGCACCCAGAAGACTTCTTCCAAGTCTTCTCCAACTTTGCACAGACCCAGATCCAGAAATTCAGTCCCTCTCCCTTGCGGAGCCCTCAACCCAACATTGACCCATGGCTGCCTGTCCCTAGGTGAGGAGGCAGAGGCAGAGCCAGTCAGCCATGACCTTACAGGCCTGCTTTGGCTTCTAGACATTCACATTCATGGATCAGAACCAGAATGGATTCATCAAGAAGGAAGACCTGAAGAGCACCTACCCCTCCCTCAGTGGGTGTGGGCAGGAGGCACAGTGGATGCCCTTGCTCTTCTTCCTCTGCTAAGCCTGGGCTGTGGCCCCTCAGGCCATTAGAGGTGTCTTACTTCCTCCAGGAGGGAGACGTGACCTGCCCCAGGTTGTCCAGAGATGATGGGACATCCAGGTGGACAGGACCAATGGACCAGCCCAAGCATGAGTGCCTGGGATGGATTTAATGGAGCTGGGTTTGGGGGCTTGTTACTCCAGCCCTCTCCAGCCAGCCATGGCCTCCCTCTCTGGTCCTGCCCCTGGAGCTGGGAAGTAATCTGGTTTCTCTCCAGGGTCAGGGGCCAAGGTGAATGCCCTCTTTCCTGACCTACATTGTGCCTGACCATGGAAAGCAGCAATCCCCAGCTTAACCCACTCTGTGTCTCCCCGTCTCAGCCATAGCCGCTGTCCCCAGCTCGAGTGGGGGAAGGGATCCCTCCTTGCCCATGCCTCATACCCCATGTCAGCCTCCCATTTTGTCTCCTAGTACCCAACACTACTCTGTGGTCACCTGAAGAATGAGAATGGAGAGCCCTATAAGGTCACCTAGCAGTCAACAGAGACAGAGAGCCATGGTGATCTTCTGCTAAGGAAGTTACACTGCACCCACCCACTGGGGAAAACCTACGCGAAGGAAGCAAGCTGATGCCATGCTCACGGAGGCCTTAGGGCCCACCAGCTTGACCTTGTTCCTAAGCCTGTTTGGAGAGAAGCTGGCCAGTGAGACCCTTGTTTTCATTCAGTTAGCACCTAACACTTAGAAATCCAGATATTTTACCAAAAAAATCTCTTCTTCTCAGTTTCTAAAAAGCCTATGACCAATCCTGACAAGGCTCGAGCTCTGACACTCACCTCCCAGATGCCAGCTGTCAGTCGCCTCTATCCTATACTCAGAACCCCAGCTGCCAGCCAAGGCTAAAACGACAGGGCAGCCCCTAGTAAAGGGCAGAAGCCTGGAGCCCTGGGCAGGCGGCACCCTGAGGCCTCTGTATAGTGGGCAGTAACACCAAGGAGACCACCCTAAATGCCTTCAACGTACTGGACATGGACTGCCAAGGCAGCATCCACAAGCAGTGGTGAGTGCTGGCTTCCTCATGGGCCCCATCCCAGCGTGTGTGGAGTATGCTGCCCAGACAAGTCCAGGACCAAGCTCCTATTTTTCAGGGACCATTTAGAGACTCAAGAGCCCAGTCCTTGGGTAACCCAGTGGGATCCTGCTTGAAGCCCTGAGGTCCAGCTTCTGCCCAGTCTTCAGCAGGTATGGGCTGGGTCCCCTTGGCCCAGGTGCAAGGAGAATATTCCAGCAGCCTCTGACCCCATCAGCTGCTCCTAAGTCTCAAATGTGCATGGGCTCTGATGATCTTTTTTTTTTTTTTTTTTCGGAACTGGGGGTTGAACTCAGACCCTTGTGCTTGCCAGGGAAGCACTTATTCTACTGAGCCATCTCCCTAGCCTGGCTCTGATGACCACTGGATGCCCAGTACTGCAGTGGAGGTGGCTTCAGACCTGGCAGCCTTCACCTCCTATGTCCCATCCCACAAGGTGGCTGTGGGACACTCAGCAGCCTCCTTGCCCTTCTCTCCTCAGCATCAAATGGCTGCTGACATCCCAAGCTGATGAGATAGCCACCAAGGTGCCAGGACGTCACTCTACCCTCTAGCCTCTGCAGACCAAGCATGGTGGGGGGCAATGCTGAGTCAGTCAGAAGGTGCTGCAGTGCTGCTGTGGACAGAACAGGGGGCACTTAGGCTTGGGGGCCCTCCAGGAGGGATGGAGCTGGCTGGGGAGCACTTATATCAGAGCTTGGGGTTATTTAGTCCCTCTGGGCTGTCCTGTATAATGTGTTGGGCTCACAGCAGGGCCATCTCAAATCTGCACCCCCGCGTCAGTGCCACCTGGGACCCCTGAACCCCCATGGTGCCCAAAAGCCAGGGCCTGGACCTTGGCACTCTTGACTAGAAACAGTACTAGCAAGACCCTGGGGCCCTGGGTCATTGGGCTCCACCTCAGCACCTGCTCGGCCCTACCCCACCCTATTCTACCCCCCAACCTCTACCCCACCCCTCCAACCTACCCTGGCTCTGCCCTGCCTTGCCCACCTGCCCACCCACCAACCCCAGCCAAGCCCCACCCCAAACACCAAACTGAGGAGCCATGGCAGGTGTCTGTATTTGAACTGAGAAGCCTGATCAACACATCACCCGCTTGCTCCAGGTGGACCAGTTGCTGCAGTTCACCTCCAGATGAGGAATAGTCCAGGACTACAAGGCCTGAGCTTCGTGCCCACCTCGGGGAGGAGCAAGCCCACCAGTCATGCTGGCTCAATAAATGTGGATCCATTATGTGCCTGTATATGTCCATTTAGCCACAGAGGCCTGGGCACCCACGAGGAGTGGGGGAGGGGGAGCGGCTGGGCTCCTACTGGGTGGCCCCCTCACCTGTCCACATCACTTGCCCACCTCTTCTGCCTGCCAAGATCCTGGCCCTCTGCAGGCGGTGCCATACTGCCCTCCTGTATCAGGCCTGATCAGGACCCATGCAGCAGGATCTGTGGGCTGCACCCACAGCCCACCTGGGGCGTCCAGGATCTGAGCCAGTCCCTCCCATCAGGTCTCAAGCTGCACACCAAGGTAGCCAGGGCTGCCTCACTCTCCTCCCTTCATGCAAGTCCCTGGTCACAGTCCCTGGGATCTTCCAGTGGAGAGGCCAGGAAGGAGCTTCCTGGGAAGCCTCACAGGGTGGCTTTGAGGTGGGGCTTGGCATCCTGCGTGGAAAGAGCCCTCCAGACTCAGCCTGTAGACGCCGGTACGGGGTGTGGAAGAAGAGCACCAAGACACAGGTGAAGAGTGTGCACAGGCCAGCCAGCAGCAGCAGAGACACTGGGGACACAAGCACAGCTCTGTCCTCTGCAGTCACAGACACCTGACACAGCCCAGCCTGGGTGGCCTCTATGGCAGAGCCCCTAGCAGTTCTAAGCCAGCCACGTATTCCAATGGAAGTAACCACAGGGACACCCCATCAGCTGGGCTGTATATAGTCCCAGAACCCGAGGTGGGTGTCAGCATCTACCCTGACCTCTGCTCATTCCCCAGCTGTCCTCTCTCTGTCCCTGTCTCTGTCTCTTCTCTCATTTCTGTCTCCCTCCTTTTCCTGCTCAGATCTCTGCCCTCATGTCTGTCTGTTTCTCTCTCCCTGGTATTAAAACAGCTTACCTGAGGGGTACTAGTGTCTGCATTTTCATGCAGATCTCTGGTTTGCACATAACCAGCTGAGTCCAGAGGTCTTTGAGTCCACCAGGCACCCACCCACCAAGGAGAGTTAAAGGCACCAAAAGATAGGCCAAGGGGGCTGGAGAGTGGGGGCCTTCCCAGGCTAAGCCAGGCCAGTCTTCCTTGGCTCTTTCCCTTGGCCTTCTGGGGTCCTGGGCCATGGGATGGACACTCACCTGTCCAATCTAGTGAGTCCTCACCATTCTGGCAGGTGGAGAATGATGGATCTGTGCGCTGCACAGTCAGAGCTGTCAGCAGGACCATGATAAGCACACCCTCAGCCTGCCTGGATGTATGTGGTTCTCAGTCCAGGAGCTAGCACCACCCAAGCTCCAGAGCAGGATACTGTGCCCAGAATGGGTACAGGGTCTGGGAGGGGCACTCACCCCAGCACAAAGACCAAGCCTGTAGCTGCTCCCTCACCAACGGGGAAGGAGCACTCAATAGCCAGCTCCATGGCCACGGGTGCCACTGAGAAGCCAAAGAGCCCTAGTAGGGAGCAGATGGCAGCCAGCACAATAGCCTGTCCCTGCAGCTGGGCGACCTGGCAAGGAGACGCAGGGTGGACATGAGTCAGATAGAGCCCCTACAGGCAGAGGCCAGGCCACACCCTTCCCAGCACCCCTCCACCTCCACCCGGCAAAGTGTTCTCAGTTCTGAGAACTCTTACCAAGGAAAAGGCCAGGCAGGCCAAGGAGGCCAAGCAGAGCCCTGTCTTGGTGGCCTCAGTGAAATGCTTGGTCCGATCCACATACAGGCCAAGAATCAGCGCTCCCAGGATACCGAACACAATGAAGAGAGCCCCACAGAGGCCTGAAAACTCCTGGAGGAGGGAAGACAGGTTGTATCCACCTTGAGGCAGGCTTGCTGGTGTGGGGCCCAAGGCCTGGAACCCTGACACCTACTGAGAGAAGGGCTGGACCCTAGAACCACTGTGTCCCCAGCCAGGCTCGGAGAGCCAGAGAGAGGAGGGCAGAGCTGCGGAGGCCACGACCAAGCACATGTGAGTGACCACCACCTCCATGGTCTCCATGAGGCATGAACACTGAACTAGGGTGCAGGGTAACCCCAGCACAGTCTCTCCCAGACAGGGCTGGCACTCACGCTCGAGTAGCCGCTGGCACAGAGGATCTGCTCCAGGAGGGCTGAGAAGCTGGAGAAGACCCCGATGCCACCCCCAAAGCACATAGCCAGGATAACATAGGCCTTGTTCCGCAGGAGCTGGAGGAAAAACACCCCTCAGCCCAGGACCCAGGGCTTCTAGCCAGAGTTCTTCCCCACGCAACCCGGGCCACACACCCACCAGCCAGATCCCAGGGAGGAACTTCTCTGAAGTGGAGCCGGCTGCCCCAGCAGATGGCGGAGTGGGGGGCACACTCTCCCAGATGCAGGTGGTGGCTAGCAGGCAGGCAAGGCTGGCAGGTATGATGTAGATGCCAAGCTGGAGAGAGGGGCTGAAGTCACAGGCCACAAAGATGAAGGCACTCCTGTGTGCCCTACTCCTGCTCTGCCCTCCATGGTGGCATCCTGCCTCCATGGGCCCCAGGGCCTGTGGTAGATAGTGCTGCCGCACTTCACCTGTACCAGGGGGCTGCATGCAGGGCCCTGGCTTTCAGCCCAACTCACCCAAAGGATGGCCCCCCTACACTCCCACATAAGTAGGTCATGCTAACAGACCCAGCTACATCATACAGGTGTTCACTCACACAATGCACACATACCATAACCTGCATGTACACCATGCACATGCACACAGTGCATGTGTGTACAAGCCACATATATGCACATACATATGCACATAGCACACATGTGCCCACACTACATACACATGAGCAGGTACCCACAGCAGGGGTACCACACATGTGCACCTCATGATCTCCCTCACCATCAAGGGAATGTTCTCTCCTTTCTTCACCAGGGCAGGTGACAGCAGGTTGGCCACAAGGATGCCCAGGGGGTTTGCTGGATGGACAGAGGGCAGAGAAATTCATCAGTACAGCTGTGGCCAGCATTCACCTCCAGCCCTCAGGGAAACCTTCTTGGCTCTGGAGCCTTGGCCTTGGCCCTGGAACTCCAGGTAGAGGTCCCAAGCTGAGCTCAGCCTGGCACAGCCTCCCATCAAGACTCACACATGGTGGCCATCATGTTGGCCGTGGCTCTCTGGTGCTCTGGGAACCACAAGGCAGCCAGTTTGGCCGGAGAGAAGATGACCAGGGTCTGGGCCAGGGCACAGAGGCTCTGGCCAGCCATGAAGAAGGCAAACGGTCTGGGGATCCTGACAGCCAGGCAGGGCAGAGCACGAAGTGTACTCCCTAAGAAGTTCAGCCACGCCCCCAGGATGGTCTGCAGGGATAGTCCAAAGGCTCCTGCCCACTCCAGCCCACAAGGGACACCAACTTCCAGCCTCCCCACGGCCCACCAACTCTGCTGGGGGTCTGGCCAATGGGACTGGTAGACCCTGGTCTGCGCAGGAGGTCATGGCTCCCATACCCTAATGCAGGGGCCCACCAGTCCCATAGCAGGCCAGGAGTATGGTCTGACTCACTGCTGCCTGGAGCCCCACAGAATCCAGGACCCAGATAGCCACTATGCCACCAGGGATTGCCACCACGAAGTAGATGAGTGACAGCCAGTTGACCTGCTCCGTGGACAGGAGGAAGTGCTGGGCAACGATATCTGCCACAGGTGCAAAGCTGAGCCATAGCTGTGAACAGAACTGGGAGTCAGCCAGGGCCAAAGATGCCACCACCAGCTCTGCTCTACCCTGATGCCAGACTGAGTCAGCCTGAGGTGACAGTGTGGGCAGTCCTGTGAGGGCTGTGGGGACCCCTCCCCCCAGACCAAGAATGGCCTCTGGGTCTTCTGCCAGAGACCAACCCTCACACTGTCACTCCTAGGAGGGCACCAGCTAGAGGACCAGCCTAAGGGCAGAAACAGAGGCTGCTGACCCCACCAGGCCTGGACCTCATCCTCCAAGAAGAGCCTGAGGCTGTCTGCAGGGCATCCACCATATGGGAGAACAAGGGCAGGAGGTGTGGTAGTCCTGGATGTGAGGCTATCGGTAGCACTGCCTAGAGAGCCGAGGAGGGTCTAGCGGGGCAAGGATAGAACCAAAGAGGAGAGATCAGAGCTGAGATGTTGCGGGTAAGGGGTACCTTTGCCTGTCTGTGAACTGGTGATGAACAGTTGGGCAGTGAGCTGGCACCACCCTGAGGAGACCCGAGGGGCGGGCAGGCACAGACTCCTGGACTGGGGATAGTCCCCAGCTTGAGGCTGGAGCTAGCACCAGGTATGCACAGCAAGAGGCAGAGGGTGGGGAAGGCCAAGAGGAGGTGCCACCTGGCATTGAGGGGGAACACCAAGGGTGCATAGGATGGGGAGTCTCAAGAGTGCGTCAGGAGAATCAGTTCCTCGTTGAAACCGCTCCAGGCATGCCTCAGAGGCAAAGCAGCAAGATCAGAGCCTCACTGTGGCAGGAGGCTTGGGCAACACTACATTCTCTTCCTTTCCCATCAGACTTCTGTCTGCACAGGCAGTGCCTGGCAGCACAGTGCAACAGACAGGAGGCATGGTATGCGTACACAGCCCATTTCCCCAAATCAAACCCGGCCAGCCCTCATCAGATTCCCAGCTCTGTCTTTGTCCCTCTGGAACCTGAACACCAGGATGGGCAAAGCAGAGGTGTGTCTAAAAGTTGGGAGCAACAAAGGTGTAGAAGACAGCTATGCCTCCTGCAAGAAACCAGCCTTGTCCAGCACACCACCGCTAAGAATCCTGGGTGTCTCCAAGCCTCATTCCAGTCATCCTCTCAGAGCCTGGCATCTCCAGTCCCAGCTTCAGATGAGGAAATCAGGGCTCTGGAAATTCACTGCTCACAGCAAGGGCCCAAGCTGTTACCACAGCTAGACCTCCGTGGGCTCCATAATGACAGCAGGACCCACCCAGATTCCCAGGAACTTCCTGCAAGCCAGGGAAATTCAGCCTCAGGTACCCACCCACTCCCAGACTGCTCACATAGAGCCCAGGCCCAAGCCAAGTCCTGGTTCATCCCAGCCAACAGCAAGTGGCACAGAAATTCCCAGAGTTGCTGCAGCAGCAGACGCCAAGCCCAGCTCAGGGCTGAGTCCCCAGACCCAAACAGCCTGCAAGAAGTAGAACAGAGCCTGGATGTCCATAGGTCTTCACTCAAGGACCAAGCTTGGACTGCAGCAGCAAGGGACCTCAGCTTCCCAACCAAAGTCGCAGGTCCCCCACCTGTGCCTGAGGCCACACCCTCCTCATCCCATGCAGGTTTCTGCACTCTGGTGAAGAGATGGGGATGTGTGGGTGACCACAGGTTGGAAGCCCCCATCGCAGCGATTCCTGCAATTACCCTGAGTCTGGGGGTTACTGGGAAGGAGCCCTCAGCCAGGAGTACACGGGTGGTCCCTGTCCAAGGGCAAGAAAGTCTGGCCTGACACTGGGGCCTGGGAATGGGTCTGACAGGCCGAGGGAACAAGGATGCCAGGCTGAGACAGGCCCTTCCCTCCCCCCACGGGGCGGTACCGTGGCATTGGAGCAGCTCAGCAGGCTGACGGCCAGCAGGAAGAGCCAGCGCCGCGCATAGGTGCGAGGGCTTCCCAGCCCGCTTACGGCGTCCCCCTCTGTCATCGGCCCGTCCCCAGTGTCTACTGCGGTCCTCTGCCCATCTCCTGGCGTCCCTGGTTCATCCCCAGTGCGCCCCGCCGAGCTCCGCCGGTCTCCGCCGTCTCGTGCAGTCTCTGTGCTGTTCCCAAGGCCCCCTGCTGTCTCTGTCCCGGTCCCCTCTGGCGTCAGCCCGTCATCGGCGTCGCCCCCTGTCCTTGGCCAGTACCCGCAGTCCCGCGCCATCTCTCTCCCCTCCCGAAGTCCAAGCTTTCTGATCCGGGGACTGACTGGTCTCGCCTTTTGGGCCCAGGCAGAGGGCTGAGACAGGAAGATCGGGTCCACCCCGCCCCCAAGCCGGGGCGTGGTGACACGTTGAGTGGGCGGGGTTAGTGGGTGGAGTTGGGCCAAAGGCATCGGAGGCTGGACTGAAGACCCTGCATAGGCCCAAGGATAAAATCCCTTCAGCTGGGGGATTCAGCTGATCGCCCCCCCACACCCCCAGCACTCCCCCCCCCCACTTCCACCAGGGATGGGTGTGGGAAAAGGGGCCTGAAGTCTTTCATCCCTAGCAGAGTCAGCATTCTTGAAAGGACTCCAAAGTTCCTACAAGTCACGAGGAAAGGCTATCCTGGAATAGGAAGCTGCAGTTTGCTGACACCCAGACTTATTCTAGGGAGGCAGGAACTAGGTAGGGATCCTGAGGAGGATTGGGTTTTTGTGGTACGCTCAGCCCAAAGGAACAGGCAGCCCCTTGTGCACACGCATGCACACACACACAGAGGACCAGGCTGCCATCTGGTTTCCTCTGAGAAACAGCTGTGCAATAGGAGACAGGGTTCTCTTCAGTTAGATGGGTTCTACTAGGGTGGGGATGGGAGTTCCTCCAGCCGGGGCACCTCTTGGCTTCATGCGTACACTGTGGCCCTGGATCCCCATCACTCCTGTTCCTTGTCCCAAGTGTCCTATGATGGGATGCTTCTCAGACAAGCAACTGTGCAGCCCTAGGCTTTAGCATGCGTCTGTGTTTTCATGGGGCATTGTGTGCCTACAAGATGTCCTCTCTGAGGACACCTCACTTCCTTCCTCCGTGGGCTGGTGCTATCTCTGTACTGGGACTGGGTTGTTGCCCACCCCGCCTTGCAGATGGGAAGGAGCCACACTGGCTTCAGGGTTGAGGAATCTGGCACAGGTGAGGTCTGCCCCTCAGCAGCTGTAGACCTAGGAGATATCTGAGCTGTCACCACTCCACAGGGTGTATGTATAGTGTCCCTGCTGAGCTACTCCCCCCACTTCCAGCTCTGAATAGGAGAGTTCAGCATGGCTGCAGGACACAAGGCTAGCGCATAACAATCAGTTGTGTTTCTAGAAACAGTATCAATGTGGAACATTTGGAAGCCACAATTAAAGACAAAATACATTTATAATTATTTTCAAGAAATTAAATACTTAGACATAAATGACTCTTGTGTGCTAGTATTATACTAAACATGAAAAAAATCAAGGAAGACCTAAAAAAAAATGGAGAGATATACCATGCTCATGGGTGCCCAAAACCAACATAGTAAAGTTGTCAGTTCTCCCTAAATCGACTTACAGGATTTTTTGTTTGTTTCTTTTTGTAGTACTAGGGGTTGGGCCCAGGGCCTTGAACTTGCTAGGTGAATGCTGTGCAACTTAGCTATATTCCCAGCCTCTGTTTTTTATTGAAATAGCATCTCACTAAGTTCCCCTGTGATCCTCCTCCCTCAGCCTTCTGAGTACCTGAGATTAAAGGTATGTATGCCTCTGTGCCTGACTGATCTGTAGGTTTAATGAAATTCTTCTCAAAGGTCTTTGCATACACAGATTGGGAGAAAATATTTATAAACCACATATCCAACATGCCCATGCTTTCTTTTCAAACCAAGTGCAAAACTGTCATATAACATGGCAGTTGCAGGCCAGGGAGATGGCTCAGTAGAATAAGTGCTTCCCTGGCAAGCGCAAGGACCTGAGTTCAATCCCTGGTTCCGGGGGGAAAAAAAAAAAATTTAACATGGCAGTTGCAGTCTTGGGCATTTATCCCTTGTATACAGCATATTGTTGGATTTTGTTTCCTAATCCACTGTGCCAGTCTATTTCTCTTAATTGGTGAATTGAGTCCATTTACATTGATGGTTAGA